AAAAAAAAAAAAAAATACGATTCATGAAAAAGACTCGCATTGGAAATGATAAAATAAACAATGAATACAAGGATATGTTAATGTTTTCAAAAAACAAACGAGTGCAATTCATGACGTACCTATACGTAATATCATCAAAGTTAAGGGAGAATTGTACTAAACAAGTATTTCGTTATATCTTTGAATTAAAGAACACGAGCCTTGAAAAGTAAACCGAGTCAAAATGAAGAAAAAATGACAACAATTACACGAAATAAAACATCATCTCGTATGTACTATCCAGATAGTAGTACTTACACGTAAGAATAAAACACACGTGCATTTGCGCTTTAAAACCAAGTCAGACAAAGTACTCGAGAATTCACGCGAATAACATCCAAAGGGAGGGAGAATGCAAAAGCGCAGGAGGACAAAGAGAGCGGAGTGATAATCGCGGAGGAGGAAAAGGTGTCTTTATCTAATGCGACCACAACGCGGACGCTCAACGCTTTACTCGGCAGTGGTGTGCGCGCGAGTTTGGTCCCGTGTTTGTTCTCGAGCTCGCGGAGTGACGATTTAATTTTTTGCCACCATCGTTTGTTCGTGCGCGCAAACACCTAGGGTATACCTACGACATAATCGACAATGGGCAGCGAATTGGGAGACAAGGACGAGAACGGCCTCGACAAGATGGAAATACAAAAGCAGCAACAGCCTCCAGGTACATGTGCATGTCCGTTGCAATTAAAAGGTCATTGACCCATATACGTTGAAGCAACTACTACTTTGGCCACCGTAGATTTTTATTCAGTGCAATCTATCGGTACTTATTTCATTTCATTATCCGACGTCCACTGTGGAAGTTGTATAATTTGTTTGATGAACGAGATAAGCACTGATGATCCTCGTTTAAGTGACGCTTATCACGGATATTTTACGTGCTTGTAGAATAATCATCGGATCAGAATCGATTGGTTCACGATTTTTTTTGTTTTTTTTTTGTTTCATCAAGTCTTTGTCAAAAGTTTTTTAAATTATTGATTATCGGTATAGTGGAGGAAAATCAACAACTTCTCGTAGAGAGTTACAAGAGAAACGTATGATGCCCAATCGGCATACGACCAACGGGATAGGAGTTTGCTTGTAATCTTAAATAAATCGGCACTTTAGGGTTCGAGGGTTTTTCGTGCGATTTTTTTTTTTTTTTTTTTTTTTACAAAATACCATCTCAAGCTTTGTTTTTTTTATATTTTTATCTGAACTTTTAAATACAAGTTAATCAAAAAGTCTTAGAATTTTTTAAAATCCATAGCATAATCCAAAAATAAGGTATTCATCCCGAGGATCTTGCGCGAAAATCCTTTTCAAGTCCAATGTTCATTAAATATTCCTTGAGCTGAGCCAACCAAGTGATGAGCGCAAAAAAAACTTCGTTGATATTGTAATTAGTACTGGTTTACATTTCACCTGCTCAGTCAACAACGTATACACGCAAAAAAAAAAAAAAAAAATAGATACCCCATCGATTTTTGTCGTACAGTTCGCTAAATGTGCGTTAAAATCTGCGATGCGTACATTTATGGACCCATGTGATTACATATTGCTCTCGCGTTGTTGATCGAGCGCGCAATTATCGCTAAGAATAAAACAGATTGAATTTTCCGTCTATTTGTCAATGCTGTCATTTAAAAAACAGCCAGGAGTTTTTATTGATAAACCGATGCTCGCTATACTCAACAGCGTCAAGCCTTAAATACATATCCACAGTTGTGTCGTTAACTGTTTTTTATCGTCACGATTTGAAAAAATAAACGCTCAATTTTTCAAAACCTAATAGGCGGAGGAAAAAAAAAACAATCGTTTAATCGGTAACCAATCGAAACTGTGCAAGAGCGCAAGTTCAATGATAGTTCAAAGTATAACCCGAGTTTTTACGCTCTTACGTAAAAGTCGTGCAATATGTTTTTGCTTATAGAAAATATGAGAAAAACGTTTGTATCCTGCTTTTCTTTTACGTTCCATCGCACGGATGTTTGACATATTTTTCTATTTACAGCGAGGGATCGTTAAAGTTGAGAGAAAAAATACAAATAATCCAATTTTTTTTAAAACGGAAAAATTGCTTTTCAGTCTCATCGTTAAAAATGAAATGTAGAAAGAATCATTTATAGATGTATAAGATCAAGAGTGACACAAAACCTTGGAAAAACATCAGGCATTATTAGGTTTAGTAGGTAATTAATAAAGGCTTGTATACGCGTTGTTTTTACAAATTTTCACAGAAAAATATCAGAGGGTCATTCATTCACATTTTTATAATCGCAGAATAAGCGAATAATTATTTATAAGATACGTAGTATGCTTTGAATAATGTGACCATGTAGCGTGACTACTTTGCTTTGTGACGTTAAAAATGTCTCGTAAATTGTGATTTTTAAGTTTCACACTCAACGCATACCGATTTCTTAAGCGTGGTGTGTATAATTTATGGGCACTTTATTATTATATTTCAAAACGTTAACAATGATTATGGTCAAAGATAAAAAAAAAAAAAAAAACGCATCAGGTGCAACGTGATTATTTTTCCATAGGCTGTTTTGGCACACGTCACTTGCAAATCTTTCTCTGTTTCCTCGGTATGATTTTCGGTTACGGTCTTCGAGTCATCATCTCCATAGCCATCGTCGCGATGACCAACAAAGACATCAATCCGGAATTCACGGTTGGTCATATTAATTCGTTTACGAACCATAGAAAAAAAAAAAAAAAAAAAAAAAAAAAAAAAAAAAAAATTGACTCGCATCCTTCCAAAACATCGCATTACAGACGTACAATTGGAGCACGTCGGACCAAGGGCTGATAAAGAGCGCCTTCTTCTGGGGCTACACAGCCGCTCAAATCCCGAGTGGCTACATCGCCGGGGCCTGGAGCGCCCAGAAGCTGCTCTGCCTCGGTATCTTCGTCAGCAGCCTCTCCACGATGATCGTACCTCTGTTGATCGGTACCGGAGGCTGGCCGATTTTTTGCGTCTTGCGCACGATCGCCGGCCTCAGCCAGGCTTGCCTGCTACCCGCGGTCCAGACCCTCCTCTCCAGATGGGCCCCACCTTCCGAGAGGGCCAGACTAGGTGCGCATGGCTCATACACCACATTACACTTATACTCTTACTCTCATTAATTGACGTGATCGCGCAGGTACGTTTGCCTACGCCGGTGCCCAGGTGGGCACTGTGATAACGATGCCGATCTCGGGCTGGCTCGCGTCCTCCCAGTTCGGCTGGCCGAGCATATTTTACGTTTTCGGTGCTTTGGGGGTGGCGTGGGCCGTTCTGTTCCTGATCCTGGGCTCGGACCAGCCGGCCCACCACTCGTCCATCAGCCCGGTCGAGCGCCTCTACATCGTGGAGAGCCTCGGCAAGAGCCGCAGCAATGCCGTGAGTTACACCATTCGCCGAGCACGTTTTCATGCTTGTTGTATAATGTTTTGTTGACGCGAGTGCGCATCTTGATTATATTTATGCGAGAGAGGAAAATTGCGGGCTCGAAGATTTTTGCTGACCGCGCGCGGAATGTTTGGGAGATAAGGCGAGATTAAGCGCGCGCGGCTTTATTTCAGCTGCTTGCTTTCACACGGTCGTGTGTAAGAGTACGTGAGAGAGATCTTTTTTTATCATTGTTTTTCAATTGATTGTTCGAAGCTGATGCGGGGGCAATCGAGGAAAGACACAGTCTTTTGTGGAAATGAAAAAAAAAACAAAAAAAAAAAAACGTTTAAAACGAGAAAGCGTGGAGATTACATTTTTTTTCCTTTATTTCTTTTATTAATGGGCAGTGAAATTAATTTATTGATTGCCATATTTTATGCATACGAAGATAAAAGAGTCAAAATATTCCATTCACATCATAAATGGTGTTGGTGGATCGCATGAAATAAGGGATATTTATGGAACCCGGAGTCATTATATCTTCACATTTATAACTTTGTATGCACGACAACATACTACAAACGCGAAAAACAAACAAAAGAACCTACATTGGTTTGCTAGTCTACATCTTTTGTACTTAAAAATTGTTGTTACTATCATCACCTCATCGATTTTTTTTATCAACCAATAGTGTAGTTTTATTTATATAACGAACTATTTGCAGATAATTTTTAATCAGAAAACGTATCGCCTAAGAAAAAGTTTATAAAGTTACTTGAATCTTACAAAGTTAAAGTTCAGTAAGCAAAGCCTGAACCTGTAATGTGAATATAGTAAAATATTATATTTATTTCTTTTACTGCGTCTTACATTACAATAATTAATCCATACTAATATGAACATAGTTTCATTTTAAAATATCAGTATTCGTAATCTACGTACATTTTTCATAAAATCTTGAAATTCATCAGATAATTTTTACACTAATTACTCGACAAATCATTTGATATATCTACATTTTTGTCACCTTATAAATCAGACGATGTCTGTAGATTTAGTGATACGTAAAAATTTCCTCAATTGAATATACAAAATTAGTCCTAGGTCGAGTCCTTATCGTCTCAAGTTGTAGATGTACGTAATTACATTTTTGGTACAAGGTTAACTTTATATCCTAGAGAACACTTTTTTCGATTTGCCATGGGGAATCTGGCCCTGCAGTCTCAGTCTTCTGACAGCTTCTCTCAAGTGCTTTGGCTGTAGTGGCCCACTCTCATTCCACTCTTCCATAACGTCCAGAGCCTCCTCCACAATCTCACCAATGAACACTTTTGCAATACCTGACATTGCTATTACGACGTTTTGCGACACAGAACATCCAGTTATTGTCTGCATGATCCTTTTGATCGCTGCTTTGGGAAAAGCAGCTCGTCTGTACATCTCATACCTATCCAACTGATCTTCAGTGAAATTGGACACAAGGACTTGCATCTTTTCTCGTTCCTCCTCTTCTAGTTCTTTTCTGCTCTTTTCTTTGCCATCTTTACTCTCTCGTCGCTCTTTCATAGGTTGCACGCTTTGAACACTCGGAGCTGCTGACGATGGATTTGGCAAAATAATTTCGTTGTCAAACAACTCATCTCTGCTTTCTTGCTCCATTGAAAATTTTGACTTGCCATCGTCATTTTTGTTCTCGTTGAACGTTTCTGATTTTTCAGTTGTTGGCAATATCAAAGAATCCGCATTCGCAGAACTCATTTTGTCGATTCGCCTTATCTATCAACGAAATTTAAATAACAAATGTTAATAATGATAAGAAAAATACTTGTAAACTTTGAAAATTTCAAAGTGATATTATACATAATAAATGACGGGGCTATTTGCTTATTGAATAGTTTACAGTTTATTAATCCTCTCCAACACTTTTTATTAACAAACTTAACATAAAAATTACACGTCTTGTGTACAAGCAAGAAAACATAACCTCTTTAGGATGACAACAAACAACTGCACTACCAGGTATATACATATATTATACCGCAGTAATATATATACATGGTAAGAAGCAGCGCCCTCTCACCCAGTTGTTCAAATTGGCGCGGTTTTTCAAATCGTTCAGAATGTCATAGATGCATTGTTGAGGTCGTAATTTTGTTTTTATAGAAACTCAAAACCCCGTGGTTAAGCATAATGACATCGATACCAATGTGGGCCCTAATAATTGCCCATTGCGCCCAAAATTGGGGTTTTTGGACCTTACTGTCGGAAATTCCTTTTTTCATGAGCAAAGCCATTGGATTCGACATCAACAGCGTAAGTCATTCATTGGAATAAAAAACGTGAGGAAAAAAAAAAAACCCTGTACTATTATGTCTCAGAACGGTTTACTGTCAGCCCTGCCGTACCTGCTGATGTGGCTGCTCAGTTTCCCGGCCAGTTGGCTCTCGGACTACGCTCTGCGTCGCGGAGTGCCCCGCGGGTACATCCGCAAGTCCAGCAACACCATTGCTCACTGGGGTCCAGGTTTCACCCTCATAGCCCTGACGTTCGTCGACGCGCAGAACAGCACCCTCGCCGTAACTCTGCTCGTCATCGCCGTGGGCCTCAACGCCGGCTCGCTATGCGGCTTCCAGATCAATCACATAGATCTGGTATCATTTATCGATACAACCGCATATACATCTATATACATCGTACATATCCGTGGTGTACTTATGGTAGCCCAAAATATTTTACAGAGTCCAAATTTCGCTGGGACAATGATGTCGATCACAAACTGCATCGCCTCGGTCATCGCCATCGTCGCGCCGATAGTCAACGCCGAGATAGTCTCGGACCAGGTGAGATTTCCTTTGCTCAATCATCTCTTTTTCTCGTTGACACCGATTTTTGCTCGAAACAAATGAAAAAAAAAAAAAAAAAAAAAAAAAAAATGAAAACCAACGAAAACATTCACAGACCAACGTGGACCAGTGGCACATTGTGTTCTATATCTCGGCAGGGATCTACTTTCTGGGCAATTTGGTGTTCGTTGTGTTCGGAAGCGGTGAGGTCCAGTGGTGGAACGAGCCTGGGCCCCCTTTGTCTGCGTTAAAGGCCGATCGCAGTAATAAACGCTCCTACAACATCTCGACGATATCGGCGATTTACGAGCACTCGGATGACGCCACCACCACGGCGTACCAAAAGTCTGCCTGAGCCCCGTGACTGTACACATTTGCGAGAAATTCAGTTTCGGAAGATCTTCATGTTTGGGCCATTTTTGATGCCCATTGCGTTTCATTTAATACGAGAGACTGCGACTAATATTAATAATTATGAATTACAAAAGTAGTGTACGGATGAATAACTTAAAGATGATTTGTGAAGGATAGGAGGGATCCGGTTACCATCAACCGATTGAAAAACCGAATGAAGAAGTTATTTTAACACACAGAACTTGTAAATACTGTAAATATGTTTTGTAAAAAAAGAGGTTTTTGTATTCATTAATTTACTGTAGTCATGAAAAAATAACTTTCAGTTCTTTTAATGCAATGAACTACAAACCTGGTAAGACGAGGATGGAGCGATCCCGAAAAAGTCTATCTATGAGTGTAAGTATACTTAAAGAGCCAAAAACTTGGATGAAGGAAAACCGAGGGTTTAGGGAAGCGAGGGCTTCATATCAACCTCCGCTCATTTGTGACTCGATTTATGTTTGAACACACATATATAAGTCTTCAGCAGCTTTGTGTTCAACCAATGAAAGTATTATGATACTGTTTTAAAAATTTAGTTAATAATCATAATTATTTCATCGGATAATCATTGGTACAGATTAAAAAATAAAGAATAACATACGGTTACACAGTTGCATTGTGAAGAAATCATTTCAAAAATTTTCCGAAGGAAGCACTACTTTCTGAAGTGTGTTACAAAGCATTTCACTTTTTTTTTACCATTTTTTCTCAAGTTACTTGAGGCCCACATTATCAAAAAATTTTTGGGCTCGACTCTATACTCACTTTAATTTATTTGAAACACATAAGTACGCTCATTTGGCCGCATTCGTACACTATAATCGCCTAATTGGTGATTTGAAACTGCACCGAGATGGACAGCATGACGATAATGACCGCTTATTTTACGGAGACCAATTCCGCATATTCATGACAATATATCTACTAGTCAAGTTTGTACGAATTTTGGATCGCAAAAGAATGAAAAATGTGCCCGTTCACTCTCAAAAACAAAACAGTTCAATCTAAGCGTTAAGTAATTGACCAGTTAATTCTACAACACTATATGTCAGGTGTAATTTAAAAAGTGAAAAATGTCGTAGACACAATTAAAACGTCAAGTACTTGGTCAAAAATATTTTGATCCTTTTGAAGTACAAAATAACTGTCCCACATCAATAAATTTTAGATAGAATAAAGGAAAATTTGAAAAGTTGGCATACTGGCCTCATACACCGCTAGAAGTGAAATTTTAACAAACCCACGAATGATTACGGTAAAGATATTAAAGTTTTTTCATTTTACGCCCAAGCAATTAGTTTTTTGTTTAGCATTGTCGTGAAACATGTATTTAATAAAAAGTCATACACAACACATTTAAAAAAGCTTCTTGCTATAAATTATATCATATTTTGCTATATCTTCGAAAATGCATTGATTTTTAAATGACAAGGCCATTGCGTTTTCATTTCATAAAAGTTGTTGTTTTGTGTTAATAAACGAGTTCACGTATCACTTATCAGATTTAAAAAATTATAATCATTGCTTACGTCATTCCCACTCGTCACTTAATGCAGGACTTGGTATGATATATTTCATTACTCTTCTTTCAATCTACTGGTACCTCTAAAAAACTGTTGATTCGAGTTGCAACAGTTAAAATAGCTGTATTGATGGCAAGTTATTGCATTTAAGACAAAGAAATCTCACGTTCCTTAAAGTCAAGATGACGGGGTAGGCATTACACAATATACACTTATTAACACAATGTTGAATTTCGAAAAAAAACTTGTAAGTTCAAAACAAATACAATAACACTTAATTGTTGAAAATTTAATAATAATATATGTTTAAAGTTAAAAAAAAATGTATTTGCAAACATTGTTAACATTACTTCAAATAAATATGGGATGAAATTATTGAAATGAAAAATAAATATCATATCATGTATTAGGTACGTACATGAATAATAAAAATAAATTTTGCATACCTAGACCAACGATCTGCTGAGAGATGATTAGGGAGCACAAAAAGAAAAAACTTCCGGATGATCTTTATATTGAGCCAGATGTTTAAAAACGAAAACATCTGGAGTTTTTCTAATTGTGCTCCCTCACCAATTTTCAGTAAATTGTATGTCTATACACAAAACGTCTTACAAAATTAGCAGTTGTAACATTGCACATTCGCTGTGAATTGACGTAAGAAATAATGTCTCGTTAAAATTTGTTATCTAATTTTTACAGCATAATAAGTTGGCATGAACATTTTTCATCTTAGTTAAAAGTTCCGGGCAGTTACTTCGACAGTTGCGTTTGGCGCGTGTTGTCATGAGGTGTTTTCGATTAAAACTTTCGTCTATATCAAGTAGACTATCAGAAGTTTTTTTAGCAGCACAATATGATTAAAAATAATTCAAATGTTCAAACGAAACAACCTGAAGGTATGTAATTTATTCGTATAATTACTGTTTGTAGATACTGAGTAAAAAAAAAAATATTAAAAAGGCATATGTATATAAATCAAAGTTAAAGCATGTAAAGATATAAGTTCATACATAGATAACTTTTTATCGAGGTAAATAATAATCCATTATTTTTTTGTATTTAAGAAAAATTTGGAACAAGGCATTTTCAAGTACTTTTGATATCCCTGTGTCTTATGACCGCAGGTGCTATAAGCTTATCTATTTCGTTGGCTATTATACCTATGACAGATCACACCAGCATAGATTTTATGGTAAGTTTTTATTCTGAACTCAACCATTAGATCGTCGAGCGCTTGATAAACCATTAAATAAAGGGATAGTTCAAAAAAAATTTCTTATTGAAAAAATTTTTCAAAGAAAAGTTTTAACATTAGTATGTTTTCTAAAAAATACCAATAAAAGAGTCTAAATGATAGGTATTGTTGCATTTTTGCGAATTTTTATGAAATTTTATCATTTATTTTTGCCATTAACTTATAAGTTTATCATTATATTATAAAAACGTTACTCGTTCTATAATTAAGCAAAACAGTGACATCCCTAGACATTGTGATATCTACTGTAACATTATAAAGTTATGAATAGACGCGAAGTTGACTAAAAATCACGAAACTGACTTCCTCTAAGATAATACTAGTCATTATGTGACTAATTAACACTAGTCATGTAATAATTTATTTTCAAGTCCAGAGGCATTATAATATATCGGCGAGAATTATCTAATAACAACATCACATTAAATACTTTAAGAAGTATTACTGTGTTTTATCATGTATTGTTTCTATAATTAATAGCATAATTACTAAATATAACATAAGTATTCATAACTTTTTAATTATTTTTTAAATTCATAATACATGTAAAAAGGCAAAGTTAGTATTATTCTAAAACAGAAAATGCATTAATGTTAATTTCAATAAGAAAATTACAAACAAGGCTGTTATTAGCAGATAATGTTAATGATAGTTCAGTAAAGAAATCGGATGTTTATGGAGACAACCGTTCTTTAGTTCAATTCATTATACAATCGTGCTTTGCAAACATTGACTTTAGAGCAAACTATATTAAATCGTTCAACTAATGTCTAATGTAAAGAGCTTCATAATACGTATTTAAGAACTTTTGGCTATATAGTGATAGAAAAATGTACAATGATTGTAGATGATAAATTTACTTAATTAATGTATGAAAAATACGACAAAAACATTTTTTTAAAGTACTTTGACTGGACAACTTCAGAAACGTCACTTGTCTTAAGTTCCTATATATGGGGATATGCCCTATTCCAAGTTCCAAACAGTTACTTGGCAAGCAGATGGAGTGCGCAAAAACTGATGACCTTATCGTTATTCATCAGCAGTGCAGTAAATATGTTTTTACCGGTAATAACGTATGCTGGTGGCTGGATAGCTTTATGTATTGGTCGAATCACCATAGGTTCGTGCCAATCAAGCTTTTCTTCCTGCAGTATCGTTTTACTATCGAAATGGGCACCAACTACGGAACGTTCCAGAATGAGTGAGATATTAATAATTTTCCTTTAATATGTATAATATTTAGTATATTTTTTGTTGTACAATGTTTTGGTCACAGGTGCTTTTGTGATGTCTGGAAATGTTCTGGGAGCAATTGTTGCAATGTCACTTTCTGGCTTGATCGCAGCATCAAAGCTCGGTTGGCCCGGCATATTTTACATTTTTGGAGGTAGTGGTCTAATTTTGAGTATTATTTGTCATTGTCATGTTTGGGATTGTCCAACCTTGCATAAGACCATATGTCCTATGGAAAAAGAATTTATTGTTAAAAATCTCCAACAAGTGGAGAATCACTGTGAAATTGATGTGCGTAAATTTTTCGGTTAGGCTTGATTGTTGTCAGACTTGAAAAGAAATGATTCATTTGCAGAAGACAATTAATCCTCCTTGGAAAAAAATTTTGACATCGATACCCGTGTGGACACTTATCGTTGCAGAATGTGGTTCTAATTGGGGCAGATGGACATTTAACACGGAGATGCCCAAATATATGAAAAACATACTACACTTTAACATCGCAGAGGTAATACAAACGATTGTAAATTCTACTTAGTGATTTGGTATGTAAAAAGTAAACATGGATCCCAAATCATCACATTTTAAGAATAAAAAACCACGACAAATTGAAATAGTTTTTTGTACACAAAAGAGTAATTTCTAAGGTCAAATTAATGTACATGAATCTGGAATTTCAAACTACTGCATGAATGCTTATAATTTCAGAATGGCCTTATCTCAACTTTGCCGTACTCGACATTTTGGATATTAAGTTTTGCATTTAGTTGGGCCTCTGATTACGCGATGCGCAAGAATATCTCGATCAGTAGGATCCGGCGGACCTGCAATACGGTAGGCATGTGGGGTCCTGCCTTAGCACTTGTCGCTTTATGCCTCATAGGTACGTCCAGCAAAATTTGGCCAGTTGTTCTGCTTATTTTGGCTATTGGACTCAAGGCAGGTACATCATCGGGATACGTGGTCAATAGCCTTGACTTGGTATTTATAGTTAAATTTGTTTTTATCATACGCTAATGAAATTTTTAACATTAATTAAGAATAAATTCAATCAGACTCCGAATTTCGCCGGTACTGTATATTCCTTCACAACCTGTTTGAGTTCGTTCGTAAGCATGCTGGCGCCAATCGTCTGTGGATTAATTGTTACAGACGAGGTAAATATCAATAAGCAGCTTGTAGATGTTATACAATAAAAAGCTAAAGAGAATAAATTTATATTTGTATTACAAATTTTAACTTACTGAATCCAAAAACTTACTTTGGTTTGCTGTTCATTTCGTTCAAAAACTTTTTAAAACAATGATTCTGCATCATAAAATATCCCTTTTTTTCTCCATACTCGTTTCAACTAAGAAATGTAGATTCAAATTGCAAACTTGCTTAATAATATTACAGAAATATACCTTTTTTTCATAGACTGATGTTCGTCAATGGCACACAGTGTTTTATGTCACATCTGCCGTTTACTTCACCACGAATCTCTTCTACGTTTTTTTTGGCCGTGGTAAGACCCGATCATGGAATAATCCACTGAGAAAAATATCCGTTAGCACAATCTACGATCCAAATGCAATAAAAATTAATCCGTAGCTGTACATTTTTTGGAGAATTTACCGAAAAGTTTCTAACAGCATAAAACATAGAATAAGCTTGCATCCATTGGAATGACAAAATACTTGTGTGTATACGAGCTTTGAAATAACAATACGATGATAAATGCTCAAATCCATTGATGTCTTATGATATTTTGGAAAACTTTATTCGCGAACTTTAACTTTAACGAATAGGTACTTACATGATCTTTATTTTAAAATTTGAAATTTTTATTCAAACTTTTTCAATAACTTTTACCAACTACAGTATTTGAACTAAGCATTTGAACGTATTATGGAAGTAAAGAAAACGGTAGTAAATTCTTATGTCTGCAGACGTTTTAAGATACTTAAGACAACTTTAATGACCTAACCTTTAAGTTTTTTAATTTTTTTGTTATTTTATGCAATATTTATGGTCAAATATAGTATTTTAATAAAAGTTGAAAAGTAAATTGTGGTGTGTAGTAAAAAGATGATATTACATTAGTTAATTTCTAAGTGAAAAAATATGTATCTATCATGTGATTTATGCATTGTATTTGTTAATTATTTTATATTTTTTTAAAGTATTACCATAAGCCCACTAGAGTTCTCATGCTTACAATAATATAAGTTTATATTGAAATAATAGTAGTTTTTATGAAATTCATTGATATGTCAACATTTTTAACACAAGCATATTGTTAAAAAAGAAACGAAAATTACGAACTGCTGTGTCTTACGAAGTAACAACTTTTTAATTTATGATGTCATTTCAAGATAAAATCTCTTTGATACTGTTGAAATGGCAAGCAGAAGTAAAGCAATGTATAACATTAATGTCTTTATAACAATATGAATGCCAACTTTTTTGATTGTCCAAAGAAGGTATGTTTATTTTATAAATCATAGAACTATTTTCAAAATTGCTGTTGTGTAAGAATGTTAAGCTATTTCATAATCCGTTTAAAAATATCGTTAAAATACAATTTACTTTTTTTAACGAAAAAAAATAAAACTTGGCTGCCTGGACAAAAAAATTACACTGTAGCTTTCCTTACAAAGACAGATATGTATCAGGACTTGTTTACAAAAAAAACTGGCATGATCACAATCCATGCAGTAATTATATATGTTTCTATGAATGATGATTGATAACCAGCTAGTGTTGAGCCCGAGAGCAAAGGTTGACATTTGCTTAACGTCAGTATTTTGACACACCGTATTACCAAGACTACAGCTCTCACGCTCTTAACTTGCAAAATTATTCATTATAAAATCATACTAACTCGTATAAGTGGTAAACTATTTTTTTCCTCTGGAAGATAATAAATCATAGTTTATTGTGAGATGTATCATGGTGAACATTTTTTCGGCAAAAAAAGCGAAGTTCTTCGTTTTTATACAAGGTGACGATAAGATCTTTTTATTTTGACATAATTTGCTCTAGAATCGCTGATCAGTTATAAAACAATATCTTATTTGGCATTGATAAATATCGTTTAGATAGCTGTTTACAAATTTTTTAATTATGCAACTGCCAACCTTGTTTAAATATCATTTTTTTTAAGACATCAGTTAAGCTTAACATGTTCTTTTGGATGTAGTGTTCCTACGATTAATTATAAAATTAGAGTCAGGTGAGTCAAAATAATTTATACTAATTATTTTTTCTTTTCATTACAATAATTCACTTTAACCCAAAAATGAGAGAAATACATATAATATTCAGAAACATCTACGATGTTATTACCAATTATGTAATAATAGTACAATTTTTTGATTGTTTGAATTTCATCTTCATGTTAAATCCTTACGACTTAAATTTAAATTTTTCATTTCTATAATATTTTCTAGACTCGAGCAAAGTTGTTGTTATTAAAAAAAATGTAATACTATTGTTCTTTGACCATAATGGTATTATATTTAGCAGAATAATCAAATACTATTGTGTTTTAGATGAATCACTAGTAATACCAATGAAAATATCAAACTTTCAATAAAATAGTTTTAACAAAAAGCTTTCAATGCAACAGATAACAACCAAAGTATTTAAAATTATTAAGTAAGATTTGTTTATAAAACTTTACTTTACTTTTTAAATATATTATTTAAACCAAAAATAAATGAACGTATGTAACTAATAGACATTTAACAAATTTTTATTTAACATTATTGCCTTACACTAACGATGCGTCTAAGTTTTTTAAATCAATTGATGGGTTTTATTTATCAATATGAAGTAAAATTATACAAATTATTAATGTAGATACTTTTGATACGTTTTTTCAAGCTAAACTTTGGACTTAATAGAGGTTATAAAAATTGTAAAAATCAAATGTCAAGATAACATATTAAAGGTGCATTGTATAATATATTATAACATTGTAGTAGATTATTCTTGCAAAATTATTTTTCAGGAGAGCGCAGTAGTTGCTTACGACATAATTTCATTATAATCAAGAAATTATCAGTTTATTTTATAGAATTAAATATGTGACCAAACATGCTTATCATATGTAGCCACGTCTTAAGCCCCTATATATTGCATATCATATGGATACTATGTATTTGTATGTGCAATAAATTAAACTCTCGAACGCACGACTTTTTCACGTTACCTTTCAGGTAAGAGATATAAGTAACTGGTTATAAAAATTGAAGTCATCATCTTCTGCAAATTACAAAGTAGGTGTGCAGTCATTATTTACTGCAAAGTCGCGTATACAATTTTCTTCTTCAAAGAGAAAGTAGTCTTTTACTTCCAATGACTTATATACGTTTGATACTGATATAAAATTTGTATTTTTCATACTTTCATTTTGTTAATTTTAATCATATGCGTTAAAATATACACAGTCGCATATTACGTGCAGATACATAAATCTCCCACATATCTTTGTTAGGTTCAGGTAATAGGATTTAAAAGCATTTTTTATTGCAATCTTACGAATTTGAGCGAATACTTACGGAAACGTGGAATCCGCTAATATAAGAAGTGAAAAATTTTCGTTTGATAGATTCAACAATAGGTATTTATTGTTTATACTGAGGAGACGTGAAAATTTAGAAGTGAATAGCAGCATGTTTATCGAATTACTTCTTTCATATTTATTGGCGATGTCTTGTTTTTAAATTTTAATTTATTTTCTATGGAACAGTTTGTACAAACATTTTTTCTTGTTTTATAGAAAATATTTATTTTACATTTTTTTCCATGAGAAACAGAATGTTTTGCTGTCATTTTATAAACCAAGTATAGTACGTTTTGTACGCCATATTCATGAAAAATATTATTTTGTGATTGATATATAGAAATTGACGGTGAACAACTCTACTATTTGACCCAAATAAATATACTATATCAGTATTTATTAGTATTATTTTATGACAGATAAAAAGGTTTTAGTTACGTGAGTATAAAACCTTCAAAAAAGACATAATGATTGAGGATATCAAATGTAAGAATATGGAAAATGGAACAATACGAGACCCAACGAAAAAAGTCAATGGTAAAGTTTACGTTTGTAAAAAATGTAATGCACACAAATATGAAAAAAAATTTTTAATGAAAATTTTTTTATGTCTTTCATAACGCAGAAAAGTTTGGTATAAGACATTTGCAAGCTTTCCTACTGTTTTTGGGTATGGTATCAGCATTCAATACCCGATCCAGTATGTCTGTAGCGTTAATTGCTATGATAAATGAAGAAGTACTTCCGGTAAAAATTTTTTATTTTATTTCAAGTATCATACAATAATTATACATGTAAATTTGTCGTTAATAATATTTTTTTTATACTTAAATATTTTAATTTTTCATTTGTTATATTCATGAGTATTATCGAAAATAATAAATGATTTTAAATAAAATTTAATAGTAATATAATTTTGACGTAATTTTTTTTATTTATGAGCAGTAGTTAAATATCTCGTAAGATAAATAGGTAAAATAATTCAATGCTTGGTAGTAAAAAAAATTCATAGTTAAAACTTGAAAAATTTGTTTTTTGACAAAGGAATCCGATACAAATTATGTATGTGAACGTGAAATTCAACTTATTTGTGTGAAATACACAGTAAATTTTGGAGTCTGTAAAAAATATAATTTTTTTTAAATATAACATTGATTGCAAATAAATTTGATTTACTTACACACTTATATAAAACTAATAAAACTTATCTTAGGTACATAACAATTATCTAATTATATTACAAATATCTAAAGGTGGATAAATTCGGTTTGGTCTCGACTGGCTTCATAATCGGACTCGTGATCATGGAAATACCATTTGGATATTTAGTCATGTTAAGAAGTCCAAAAACCATTCATTCAGTATTCATGCTGTTGAGCGGTATTATGCACATGCTGGTTCCTTATGCGGCTATATATGGCGGCTGGATTACGGTTCTAACTGTAAGAATCCTAATGGGAGTTTGTCAAGGTGGACTTATGTCTTGCACGCAAGCACTCCTGTCTAAGTGGTGTCCACCTTTCGAGAGAGCAAGATTAGGTACGTGATAATCAAGTTGAGAAAATAAAGAACAATTTCAAGCTACAGCAATCTCTTTCAAATTTTCATTGTATTTACGTAATTTTCTTGTCGTGCAGTAAAATAATTAATAAGAATCATCATTTTAGTCAATAGATTATTGCGTGCTATAATTTAAAGTCCAGACGAACATTCCAACGGTGATGCATTTATTTGACACGATGACATGGGCAATTTTAATAATCAGCGTAGAGTAATTAAATGCCTCAAGATCACCTCGTCCTTTTTACGGAAATACGTTATTGAATACAGATGGCACATACACTCTTATTTAAAATTGTTTTTGTTATTCCAGCTATGTTTGTGTTCAACGGTGCGATATTAGGCAACATGATTGCAATGCTGGTTTCCGGAGCACTGTTGAAATCAAATTTCGGCTGGTCGAGTATTTTTTATTTATTCGGAGCGATGACTAGTGTCTGGGGAGCTGTTTTTTACGTTTTTGGAGCAGACTCGCCAGCTCAACATCCAAAAATAAACAAAGACGAAAGAGAATACATCGAAAGTAGCATCGGTGAAAGTACAGACGAATCCAAGGTATTTTTCACTAACGAACAAAAAAAAATGTCACAAGTCTAATTTTTGATTTAATCAGGTAACCAAAGTACCATTGCGTCAAATATTGACATCCGTTCCCGTTTGGTCCCTAGTCGCGACAAATTGTGGCGATGTTTGGGGCTTTTTCATCCTCCTGACACTCCTGCCAAATTACATGAGCAACATCGTCGGTTTCAACATCGAGGAAGTTAGTAAAATTTTTTACATTTCCATGACCGAAATTTTGCAAAAATTCACGATATAAACTATGGTCAGGGTGCTATTATATCAGCTCTGCCGTACCTCAGCGCCTGGCTGCTGGCCTTCCCCTACAGCTGGATGTCCGACTATTTTCTCAAGAGAGGCGTTCCTGTGACGCTAGTGCGAAAAATCAGTAACTCGATTGCCATGTGGATTCCAGGGCTTGCATTGGCGCTACTGTGCGTGGTCGAAAGGAGCAAAGTCGTTACCGTCGGCATCATGGTTGTTGCCGTGAGTTTCAGCTGTGGGACTTTTTGCAGCTATCAAGTCAGCAAAATGGAAATCTCTCCGAACTACGCGGGGATCATCATGTCCTTTACCAATTTCTTTGGAAACGTCATGGGCGTGCTTGGTCCGAACGTTTACAGTTTTGTAGTCGAGGACGTGGTGAGTTTTTTTTTTTCGTCCTTGCTGATTGAAACTTGATCGAAATTTTTTTTATCTTAAAAATAATCTACAGATATTTGTTATCCGTAAATATTTATTCGCCATCGCGATTATTTGTATTTTAGAAAAATCCCCAGCAGTGGGATGTTATATTCCTCATCACGGCGTCGCTTTACATTGTGTCGAACGCCATATTCGTTGTCTTTGGAACATCAAAAAAACAGCCGTGGAACGAAATTGAAAACACTTAAAAAAGTTTTTATGGCTTTGTGACATGCATGATATGATAATTAATTTTAAGTATTAAGTTGTGAATAAATCAATTTGTACAAAAAAAGTTTGTTTAAAGCATCGAAATAAGTATTTATACACCTGATGGATGATTATATCCAGTCTAGTATAATAATAATAATAAAAAAAAAAATAATAATAAATAAATAGAAATTACTTGAGTTTATACACATGTAAGTTTTGTTTGCGTACAATAGAAAACATATTGGTAAGATGATAAATGTAACGTGCAGCGATTAATGAAACAAAAATCTTTTAAATGTGCATTTTTGTTAGTAATACAATTTTTTTTTTTTTAATTACCACCAAAAAAATTTTTTATATTTAGCCATTTTACTTACACCTGTTTTTAGGTGTTGAGTACTATTTACTTGTATGTGCACAAGTGATGGAGTTACAGGTAGAGGTACGGGACATGGGAGGATCCACCAACTTTACAATGACGCATGTACGATTGACAGTCGAGTCGGGACTAGCTATTAATTACAATCCTCTACATGCGGGATTTTTCGTAATTTAATTTTCCCTCTTGTCTGAAGGTAATTTACTCTGTCGAATCGAGGAAAACTATTATCGAGACTATTATAGGTTTTTCGCTTTAAAAGTACCCGTAGTAAAGGAAGAGCGTTGCAAAAGCAATATTCGTAGTATCGCGTCAGTAGTTACGTGTCTGCGTATACATGCAAATCACTATTTAAATTTATAGTAAAAATAAAAATTTCAAATTTATAAATATACAACCAGAGAAATAGTGGAAGTATACAATACATACCTACCGTAAGTTTAAATTAATAAAAAAATAACGCATTCACCTGTAAAAAAAAAATTTTCCACTATTTCGTCTACTTGCGTATTCGTAACTTTGAAGCATAAGTTGTAACAATAAAAAGTACAATGGCGCGATCGATACCATAGCACCTACGTGCATAAAAACTGACACTATTTTTGGAGAAAAAAAAAAAAAAAAAAAGCATCATAGCGCCGCAACACAATCGGCTCTAATTACTTCAATTTTGACAAGAAGATAATCCCAAGCCGGGCATCCGCGACTCATCCGTGATGCAACGAGAATATATATACACATACATAAAACGAAGGCGCGCATCAGCCGGTCGCACCATTCGCGGGCGAGTCGCACGAAAAAATTACATAATAAAAATCTTGCACCGCGGGTCCCCCCTTAATTGTATACTTATGCACACAGCTTACTCGACGAACGACTCGCTTCTTTTTCGAGCGCACATACGTATTAACTTCCGCGCACCACTGCCCGGCAAAGACGGTCCAAGACAACGCATCGTCGTCGTCAATACAAAATAATAAAACCGGCGTCCGCTCACCCGCATTACAGTCACTGCCGGTGGATTTTTCAAAACGCTCCGCGAATCTGATTCTCGGATTAGAGCTCGGATTTCCGCGCGAGAAAATTCCCTCCTCTCCTCTCTCCGTCCATATCGTGCTGCGCGTACTTTTTCAACATATCATCCGGACTCGCGAGACTGATCACACTTGACTGTGCCGGTCGCCGCGTCGACCATCCCGGTCTTTTTGATTTATCTCTTTGAAGCCGATTTTTTTGCAGCCACGAAAATCATTTCCGTTGTTTTCACTTGTTATTATGCCCTACTAATGGTAGGCAAGTCGCCAAAGGAGGTACGCCGGATGCGGCGACAGGCATTGTCGTCCTTAACAATCTAATGGTAGTGAACGCACGTTTGCATAATCGGCTACCGATCGCGACGATTCATTGCATAAGGGACTTCAACTTCCCATCGAGATTGAGTTATTTACCTGCTGCAAGTTGCAAGGTATGTACATAAGTCACGTTTTATACATTGTGAGCTTAGGTTGCACGCGTTTAAAATTAGGTACATGTAACGCACACACTGTTTAACAGTCGAATATACACGGACGTGTTTTAATTCAGAAGTAATGGGAATTGTCGCCCGATCGAGTAAATTATGAGTTGTCATGTTCAAAGTATACGAGCATCTACTCGGTTTCATATAAATTGGTGACTTAGTACATTTGTTAATTATAAACAATACTTGTAAAAAAATAGTCATAAATGAAATCCGATAAAACTCACCCAAGAATTTTGTACATTAAACATGTTTTAACTGCTGATACGATCTTTTGTTAACGTGTTTATAAATTTAATTGTACTAAATACAAAATTTTAAACCATACATATACCTAAAGACAAATTTGCCGGAAGTTATCACTTGGTCCGTACGTGCCCATATACGTTATTTGTTAAGGCAATAAAAAAATTAATTCACATTTGAAAAGAGAAAATGAAAACTTGAAAGTATTTTAATTATTGTAAAATAAATAAAATTAAAAAATTCGCAAGAACATTAAATTTTGTTGTTATCCATTATGGTTTTGTATAATTTTCTCGAGTGATGAAAAATACTCGAGAGTTTCATTCGCGATGCATGAAATTGGCAGTTTTGTAAAAGATAATCAAGCACAGCTCTAATAGGCATCTCTGTATTTCCAAAAAACTGTAATTATCCTTTAAATGAGCGATCACGCGGCATGCGGTTGAAAAACTTTTATCAAAGATTACTCCGATTAAGTAATGGATTGATGCAAAATTCTAAAAATTTTCCGAATATTACGTAAGCACGAGATAGTTGATTAGTTTTGATTTCGAAAAACAATTGAAAGAATTGTGATAAATAATAAAAAAAAAAGTGAAAACAAATCGTTAGGATTCACGGCATTTTTGTTGCGAGTAAAATCAAAACAATTGCATTTTTCTTGTCACAATTAAAATTGCAATGATATAATGCATTATAAAATAGTTACTTGCTAGTATTTATTATAAACGTGCGAAGAACTGTGTGAATAAGTGCTAAATGTATTTTCGATCTTAATGGTCGGTATTTATGATTATAAACTAACGTATATAATTGCGTGTAGCTTTATCAGGTGCATAAATCTGCACACATGGGGATATAACAGTTTGTTGATAACTAAAGAGAAAATTTAGAAAATTTTATTGTGAGGACGATTTTATAATGACAAGTTATCGATCTTGTGTTGCCTTGGGTATTAGGGGATTTTTCAAATACTTTACATACCAATTAATTTCTCAAAATATAATAAATTTTTTTGTTGGAATNGCTGTTCACACACAAATATTAGTTTTGAGACTTATAACGGGCTTCAGGGTATGAAGATTTTGTACACCGAACCTCCAAGAAAAAGGCGAAAAACTGATTATCACAGTGAACTGTAAAACGTTGAAAATGTCTTGTTCGACTTGATGATCCAAATAATATCACTGAATTAATGCTAGAAAAGACACCATCTTCATACCAAGTTGAAAATCCTCAAAAAAATTCAAGTGCTGAGCAGAATGAATCAAACAAAGATGTAAATATGGTAAACATAAAAAAAATATTTTCAAGCCCTGTGCATGTATGTTACTGTCGTTTGTTATTAAAACGTTTTTTTTTTTTTTTTTAGTACTATGTTATAAGTATTAGTAAAAGTAAAAAATTTCCAGTAAAAAATAAGCATTGTATTTGAAAAAAAAAAAAAAAAAAAAAAATTATTTGAAAGCGTAATAATTGTGCTCAAGTTTGACGTTGTGTATGTACGTGTGACATAACATTTTTCGCCGCATCGGGAAATCAATCTTCAAAACTTTAATGATGAATCAATCTCGTGTTATCGGACGTGCAAAGTAGTATAATTATTGATGTTCGTTAGCTCGATCTAGTATAATGAGGATAATTCGCATCATGACCTATCCTACACGTAATGAGGTTGTTGAGTAACGCAACGGTGTTCGTCAATTGAATATTACACCATACAGTGCAAAGTTCAAGATCAACACAACACACTCCAGAATATATATTTACGACATCTCGCGTTGGCAACAGTAATATACCCAACACAATTAGATATTTAGAGATAACTGCATGGGGAGTAACCGTTTTATCCATTAAGAGCATCAATAAAGCTTTGTGAGCACCAAATGAAAACAAAGATGAGAAAATATTTCGATAACAACCCAACGCATAAGTTATACATTCGTGTAAGAGTTTCGCTGTCAACGAAACACGCAATATTACTGACATGTGTATATTAACAAATCGTAACATTGGTAGGTATATATAATTCCTCTGCGCACGCTTTTTCTGCAAGTTATGCTGAAAATTGATATGTTTTGCACAACCAGTACTCGCACGCCGCAAACGCACGAATCGCGAAGTAATATCTCCATCACGAACCAGAAACAAAAAGCTTTAAAAAAAAAATTAAAAAATTAAAAAAAAAAAACAACGAGCGTATTTGAATTTTTCCTCCGTCTCACTGCACGTCTCGATGTTTTTAAGCAACAATGACGGAGATGCCGCAGCTACGAATCACGAAAAGTATGTTGCTCCGATTTGTTGTCACCACCACTGCTCTCACCGCCACTGCTACAATCGGCACAACCATCACCGACAGCACTCGATGCACTTAGAGAAATAGATAAAAAAAGTGACAAAAAAAAAAAAAAATTAGGGAGCATTAAATAAAGAAAAAAAAGCCGAGGAAAAATAGAGCACCGCCGTTATGTTCGTAAAACTAAGCCGATCGCATCATGCCGCAGACAAGTTGGGTTCCCGGCACGCCCAGGTTCTGCTGTTGTTCCTGGGCATGGCGACGGCGTTCGCGCTCAGGGTCTGCATGTCCGTCGCCATCGTTGCCATGAGAAACAAAAACTCTGCCAATCCGGATTTTCCGGTAAGTACACCATTTCCTCGACTGTTTTATTAAACACAGTAAAATACCCTTTTTTTTTATCACAGAGCAAATACGTCTCTATACACTGCAAATTCAAGTGCATAACTGTACGTATTTTATGTGCATAATTTTATGCACTTAAATGTGTAAGACGTTTTATGCACTTCAAACACGTTAAAATTATACGTTTTGATGCGTAACTATGAAAATACACGTTTAAGATGAATACCACTACACACTTTATCCACATAGTTTGCGAATTTACTTTAATCGTGTAATATTTACGTACATAAAGTGCATAAAATAATACGCACGTCCAAGTGCATTGTTTTTAGCTGTTTTACGTGTGTAACCTAGAATTCGCTTAAAACACATTATTTCTCCCAAACGAGAAACAATAAGTTGCGTATCACGTCGCTCGCGAGAAAGGTCGACTTTTAAGTTACCAAATAGTTGAAATGTAGTGCGAAAGAGTGATCAGTCGGTTCTTTGAGTGTATCTGCAGATGGTAAGTATGAATATAATCGTTGTGATAACTTTTCTACATGCCACGGCCTAAGGCGTTCAAGCGCAATAACAAATCTAACCTACAAATACCCTTACGTCTCGGTCGTGGTCTTGGTAGTATAAACACTGTTTCATGTTCGTTGTTGGCGTTAAGTTGATTGTGTTGCAAAAAGTGAGTTACAATATGAAAAACTGAGATTATTTATCGCACTTTCTCATATATATCCGTACTTTTTACTCATCGAGCGTAAGCCCGATGAAGCTGTGGCTTACCTATCATGGTCCAGATAGGCATTCTCTCCAGCGAGGATGATAAGTGCAGTGCCCCAGGACGTGCTTTTCTTCGAAATTGCGCTACTGTCTCTATGGTAATACGACTATTAGAGCAACAATTCACCTCCTATGCTCAATAATAGCCTTGCATGACCATTTAGATTTATGAGGGTTAGTCAATACCAAGGACCACAACCCATTTGGTGATTTTAAGTTCAATGGCATCGCTCCGGTGTATTATAATGTCTCGAAGATGCGCGTCACCTTTGATATGCATGGCAACGATATCATCCACATCCCAGCCAAGCACATGGCCAGTGATCACAGCAAGTACATTGGTATCACCAACGACAAGGGACGAGATCGACTTCATGCTGTCTGACGTTAAGTGATATCGCAAGCAGCATCAGTTACAGTGCGTAATGGTAGATGTACGCAGTCAGCTTGAAACTTACATCAGCTCAACCTAGCAGGCTACTGAGGAGAGTGGTGAAAAAGCCAGGATGAAATATCGAGCCTCTTATTGCGATGAGAAAGGTAAAGGTAAACATTGAATCCATTGAAGAATTATTCATTCAAATTAAATACATTATACAAATACTATTTTTGTAAATTAATGTACGTTACGTACAAACATGTATATAAATACTATGAATAAACGCAGGTGAAAATTTAGTGTATGTTCCACCTGCCAGTGATCCACGTCTCAAGGCGCAAGGGTATACGCATTAGAGGCCCACTTGTACACTTTTCCATCTATTTATCCAAACTCATGTAATTTACTGTAGTATCAATGGCTGGATACTGACTCAAATACGTGACAGGTGAGCATTGTAAAAAAAAAATTTTTAGCTTATCAATAATCATTGTTGCTGTTCACACACAAATATTAGTTTTGAGACTTATAACGGGCTTCAGGGTATGAAGATTTTGTACACCGAACCTCCAAGAAAAAGGCGAAAAACTGATTATCACAGTGAACTGTGAAACGTTGAAAATGTCTTGTTCGACTTGGATGATCAAAATAATATCACTGAATTAATGCTAGAAAAGACACCATCTTCATACCAAGTTGAAAATCCTCAAAAAAATTCAAGTGCTGAGCAGAATGAATCAAACAAAGATGTAAATATGGTAAACATAAAAAAAAAATTTTCAAGCCCTGTGCATGTTATTCATTTTCTTTTATTTTTTTACATTATTTTTTTAAATCTTACAGGCAAGTACTGAGTTTGCTGATAAAGCCAGTAGTTCAAAAAAAAAAACATCAATTAGAAAAAAGTTTAAAATAATGAGTCTTCCACCTCTCAGCTATGATTTAAAAAATAAAATTGAAAAGGATGGAGTGGAGAAGTCACAAAAGGAATTGATCAGATTTTTCGGACAATATTTGTGACAGGAAACAGATGGTGATCCATCAAAACAGCAGTACAATGATTTAGGGAGCAAAATAGTAAATAAGTATCCTTTACTAAGAGGTGGCGAAAACGATAACGTAAGAAATTTTGTTGATATTTTTGTTTAAGCGGCTTTTAATAATTATTTTTTTCATGCTTATTAATTTGCAGGGCATTGTCAGAAAACAGCTAAGCATTTGGATTCGAAACAATCGCCAAATTATAAAAAAAACATCAAAAAAACAACAACATTCAAACCCAGAGAAAAAGAGTCAATCTCGAGAAAAAGCTACAATTGTTGATAAAGAGTAAGTTAAAAAAATTGTCTTATTATTGTGTAATTACATAAGCTTAATATTTCGCACTATTACTATTACGTGATTAACGATAACTTACATCACTTTACAGACATAATATTGTTTCTATGATTTCTGACGAGGATTTGCAAAATGGACTTCGGGAGCTTGAAAAATTCAAAAATGGAAGAAATATTTCCCACTTCAAAAGACTACTAGTGATTACCCGGGATCACAGAAGAAAATGGATTGAGGGAGAAGCTGAAAACGTTGCTCTTATTGTGGAGAAGTATCCAGCTCTTCAAAATTTCGAAATGGTACGAAAAATGGCAAGAAACTTTTATGATCTTAAATATAACTGAAGCTGATGTATATGATGATTGTGACGTATTTTTAAACGATCTATGTAACTACTATAGTAATAATTTATCAGTAAACGATAATGCAGAGATGAAGAAATTGACAGCCGTCGAAAACATGTACTTAGAGTTACTACCAAGTAGACTAAAAAAATCTGTGCTGTATCCTTTGTGGAAAACAATGCCAGTAAGTTTTTTTTTTAATTCTCATGTCTTGAACAACTTGTTACAGTTTTTATTTTATAATTTACAACATTTTTTAAGTTTTGGATTCATCAGATATTCTGTTTTCCTCAAGACAGTCTCCTCCTAGAGCTGTTATATTTGTTGCAGAAAACATTATAGTTCAAGCATTTATTGTAGCAGATAAAAGTGTAAGGATTGAAATTTGAAATAGACAATCCTTCTGTCAGCAAGATATTGATTGTACTGTTATCGTCGTATTATGCGTGGCACAGAAATTTTCCAAAAGCATTTAATAATTCTCTAGGATTCTTGTCCATGAAACTTTTTGGCATTAACCAAAAGAAAAGTACAGCTCTTGAAAAGTTTATAAGAAATTGGGAAAACTCTTTGTAGAGTCTTGTTGTGTTCAAATTTTTCAAATTTTTTACAAAAAAACATTTCTCCAATTCTTAGTTAAGTAGAACTATCCCACATATAAGCTATGTTAATTGGTTAAAAAGATCCATTAGTGTATAAAATATATAGTTTAAAACACGTAAACTAAGTAATAATGTAGTGTATGATTAGCTATTGATAGTAATTCATTCATGTATTAAAAAGATAAAAGAATTTCTTTGTACTTTCATTTTCTAATAAAATATTTTATTTTGTCTAAAAGAAATTAACTAGTTTTATTGAAATTTATTTAATTTTTGTATTCTGAAAATTATCTATTTTTCTCATATTCCTTGTTTTTCTTGTACTCTTATTAAGTATTTATTTGTGTACGTGAACAAAATTAGACTTAAAGTTACAAGGACGATGAATATGAAAACTCCATTTTCAAATTTTCATAAACTATTGCCAATCATACCACTTTCTTTAATCTTTCGAATGTGTAGACTACTTAAAAATGTAAAATAGAAATTTATTTATTTTTTGAAGTAACGATTGATTAAACGTTTCAAAAAACAAATAAATTTCTATTTTTCACTTAAAAGCATTTTCAACGCATGAAAAATAAATTAACTCGCTTTAAACGCATTAATACGATATGCATTTAAAGCACATACAAGAATTATTATATATTTAAAATGCATAAATTCACCAGTTTTATGCATTTCAAGTGCATAGTTTTTACACACATGGGTGTGTAAGTTAACACACTTGAGATGCATTCGTTCATTACACACGTAGAAACGTGTAAAAAGTGTTACAAGCAAAATATGCACTTAAGTGAATAGAAATAATGAACTTGGATTTGCAGTGTATACTCAGATAATTATAAGCATCAAAAATTTACGTTTTTCTTAAAAAGTCACTTAGGTTGATTGATTTTTCGGCACATCGTTTACGCGAGTCTATGAATAAGATTGCAATTATAATTTTTTAATCAAAAGCCAACGTCATACAAAAAAGGGGCATATAATCGGACACGCAAGTGCTGATTCACGTTTCAAAATTGGCTGACACGTGTCCCGAGCAAAAAAGAGTCAACTCGAGTAAAAAATAATAATAAAGAAAAGATACAAAAAGTTCCTTTGCTTCTCCTCCCTTAGGACTACAACTGGACGGGCCAGACAAGCAGTTTGGTAATGAGTTCCTTTTTCCTGGGCTACATCGTCACGATGGTGCCCAGCGGCAGCCTGGCGAGTCATTGGAGCGCCCAGAAGCTCCTTGCCCTGGGCATGCTCGTCAGCTCGATACTAAACATGCTGATACCACTGCTGGCCGATTACGGCTCTATTTACGTGATGACGTGTAACGTGGCGATGGGATTGTCCCAAGGATGCCTGATGCCCTGCGTCCAGACTCTTCTATCTCGTTGGGTACCGCCTTTGGAAAGGGCACGACTAGGTGAGCCTTTATCCGCTTTGGACGTGCATTCGCGTGTTAAAGACTTGTTGCTCGCTGTATAATTGCGACAGGTTACGTAACTTTTTTTCGCTAAAAAGGCCGCGCTATTTCGATCAGGTTGTTGTTCTTGGAAGCGAAACAAAAAAAAAGAACAGCTCGATTACGGCTCTTACAAAGCCTCATTCCACCGGATTAGTGATTTTTACGGCTCAATTGGAACTGTAATTTTGTTAACAAAATTGGTCAATTTCGGGGTTAGCGCTCAAGTTGTTAGAGCACGCGTTACGGCCTACATGCACCAACACTCGAGAAAATTTCGTTTACACGGAAGTATCTCGGCAGTATTCTGGGACTGAAAATCAAGTACACCTTGAGCAGATAAATGTTTTCAATTTCATTTGAGAGATAAAAATAAGTTGTGCTTGGGTTTTCAATCGTAAAAAGTACATACATAGTATTCGGATTGGCAACTCCATAGACTATTATGTATTCAGTTGAATGAGCTCATTACGGTTGTTGTATTTTAATGAAAAATTATAGTTTGGACCATTAATTAAAACTATTATTCAACGCGTTCGAGAGTAAATAATATTTCGTAGGATGGCCAATGAAATCGTTGTAAAATCCTTTCGAAAGCATTAAAAATTTCTACAAATTTGAATTCATGTAAGCTCCTTGATTAAGAGTGAATAGCCCACGGATGACAACAACAACTTATTGCAGGTTCCTTTGTGATGAACGGCCAGCAATTCGGAACTGTGGTGGCTATGCCGGTTTCCGGTGCGTTGGCCGCCTCGAGTATCGGTTGGCCGAGCATTTTCTACGTTTTCGGCGCGATCGGCATCATCTGGAGCTTAATTTTCTACTACACCGGGGCAGACTGTCCTTCCGTTCATCCACGAATCAGTCAGAAGGAGGCGGAGTACATTAACAGTAGTCTAGGAAATTTAATCAAAGCTAGCGAAGACGAGGTAGGAATGCACATAATTAGATCTATAAATTTCACAGGCGCGTAACGTGATGAAATTTTCGATTGTGCAATATCGCGCTCAGTCTGTCATGAGTACAGAAACTACTTGATTGCCACTTAAAGTATGCTTACGTGGGCGTATGCCAATTTTAAATGTACTGGCACGATTAAAAAATAAAATTACAAATCTTTGAAGCGTTGTCTGAATGAATCAAGCGTGTTGCTACTTATTTACACAACGGAAATTTTTCACAGCGCCAAATTAATGCCTTTTTTCATGAGACAAGGATAAAGTTATGGCCTTAATTTTATTCTTTTCGTCATCGCCGTTTCATGCATCAAACAATGATTTATTTTGCATTCAGAAACCAAAAGTTCCTTGGAAAGAAATATTAACATCCGTCCCTATGTGGGCCCTGATTATCGTGCATTCTGGACATAATTACGGATTTTACACACTCCTATCAGAATTACCGACTTACATGAAATCAGTTTTAGGGTTTGACATTTCACAGGTAAATAAACAGTTTGTTGGTGAAATTTTCCTTGTATTAATATTGTCACGTTAAAACGTATTTTTCCAGAGCGGAGGTATCTCGGCTCTGCCTTACTTGGCCATGTGGGTCATGGGCTTTCCAATAAGTTATTTTTCCGATTACGCGTTACAAAAGGAAGTATCTGTCGTGACGATTCGTAAGGTCGCCAATTCGATCGGACTTTGGATTCCAGCCTTAGCTATGGTGACTTTGTGTTTAGTCACGACAACCGACAAGACTGTACTTGTAGCAATTCTCATCATTGCCGTTGGATTTAATTGTGGAACCACTTGTGGCTTTCAAATAGTCCATATTGATATGGTAATATTATTTATACATCCACGGTAATTTTTTTCAAGAGATCCCTTGTGCTTATTTTGGTATGAATAATAATTTTATGTAGAAAGAGAAATTAAAACTATTATTGTCATATTAGTGAATGCCAACTGAAAATAATTTAACAAAACTGTTTTTTGATAAAATAATCGTACTTTCATGTCATATAATATTATTGAATAATATTGGGTTGAATGGTATAATTATAAGTTCGGAGCATTTCTATAAATTATATTGATTTGAAAAACTTCTTTTCATAAGTCTCCCAATTACGCTGGAGTAATGATGTCAATTACCAGTGTGATAGCCAACATCGTGGGCATCATAGCTCCAGTGGTCTGTGGCACAATTGTTACTGTAGAGGTAATTTGTATTTATTGTAACACCACGATAAATTTGTGCACAAAATTTGTTATGACACTTAATAAACTATGTTTTATTAGGACAACGAGAATCAATGGCATGTTGTATTTTATATTACGGCAGCGATCTACTTCGTGACGAATCTAATATTTTTAATATTTGGCAAGGCTGACATTCAACCGTGGAACGACCCAGTTGAAAAACTTAAAGAAAGCACCACTCAAATCCCTACAATATCTGATCACGTGTGAAAACATTTGTATCTGTATGATATAGTTTTCATAATTATTAACTATCATTGAATATTTATTATGGGATATAATTTATGTTAATGGCTGATCAGGAAGAACATCAAACATATTTGAAATTGAAAGATCAGCAGTTCAGCTAATTTTGTGTGGTCATACTGTTGTATAAAGGGCACACAAGTGTTAGCAGAAAAAAAAATTATGTAATAATGTGTAGTTGTATTTTTAATTTTTTATTATCACGCAAAGAAAATTACTTTTAAAGTATTTTTATAAAATAAAGCAAAAAATAGTATCTAAAAACTACTACAACGCAAGTCAGTTACTGTAAAGATGTTTTCAATCAATTATATCTACGAAAATACATGAAAGACAAATACTCTCAGCCACAGTTTTGAACGGAGACGAATTAATTGTTTCAGTAAGAAGACACTTGATTTTCACATTTTTTACGTAACAGAGGCTATTTAAAAAGATAAGCTGAAAATACGTAATTATGTAATGGCACGAACATTTTTTTCTTGTAGCTTTACCATCACTATACTGGTATTAACAAAGAGTCGAGATCTCAGTAAATTTTGATTTGTTGTACAATGATATATATACTTATGAATCTAATGCAAAATTTAGTATTATGTTTTAGTTGTTATTTGTATTATAAGATCCTTCGACCAATTTAAATAAATATAACAACTTAAAAATATGCGTTTTTAATAAAGTTCTATTATTAAAAAAAAATGTTAATATGTCTAATTTCTCAATTAACATTATTGAGCCATTTTAATTAAGTTTTAAAAATTAAAAACTTGTAATTACAACCTAGTAAATACGTTTTGAGAAAAATTCGTAGCTAAAATAGTTTCAATCTTAATGTTACTAGCTTCATTACATAATCTCAATTAAAAAAAGAAGTTTAAAAAAGAATATTAAAAAATAATTTAAAAACTTGAACTACTTAGATACATAAAAAGTGATAACGATATGTGCTGTTTATGACTAACGCGTATGAGGCAGTTTAAAAAAATATATAGTATTATTTATAAAAAAAATTCATTTTTGGAAAACAGAAATGGTTCGAAAATTTTTGTGTAACAATTAGTTAAATTTTTCTCTGAACTTAAAAATTTAAGAAAAACTTTTAACATAAAAGTCAATTTTCATTAAGCATTTTTGAAAAGATAATTTTTATTTATTTAATTTATAATGTGACCGGTAAGCGCTCCCAGTTACTTGTTGATAAGTTTTATGTTACTATTTAATGTTTTATTAATCAATAAAGTGACCAGTAATCGCCCCGAGTTACCTAGTGATAGGCGCAATAGTTATTTATTATTTTTCCATTAATAGAGAAATTGGCCATTAAGCTCTCCTGGTTACTTGTTTATTGTTGCTTATGTTATTAATGTTATGCTTGTAATTCACAATTCTATTTATAAGGTTTTGCAACTTTGTGATTATGACTAAATCATTGATTTATAAATTGAAGGTATATTTAAAATGTTGTTAGGTTAAATACGTTCGGAACATAGGGTTATGGGGTTTAAGATGTTTGGGGTACAGAGTTATTGGGTTTAATAGCTTGGGATTTAGTTGTTTAGTTTTAGTATATTTGAATTTGTAATTTGGCACGTTAATTTTGGTCGCAGGGCGTCAGTTCCGACGGCGGTACTATGACGGTCACATGATCGATTTTTTACCACAGTCTCTGCACGTGTATACTGTATAGTCGTGGATCCGGTATATAATTGCCGACCGCATGTCTATCAGCCTGATCTTCAAGGACATTTGTAGCGATCAGAACAAATTTTTAACAAGCTGTAACAAGAAAATTTAAGTTTGGCGAAATTAGCGAAGTGACTGCTTTTTTCAAGTCATATTTTAATGCATAATTTGGTGTGAATATTACATTAAATTTTTATTGTTTTTAGGTGATCAGCAGGATCAGGTGTGCGATCGTCAAGCGAATGCTTTAGGTCTTTCTGATTTATCATAAGTTCCTGTAGTTTCCAATCCCAAGACTCAATGTCCTTGGCCTGAGTGCCAGTTTCCATCAAAAGTCGATGAAAAGATTAGAAGATATCTGTGGTAACATAGCAGTTTAGATAGTATAAGGAACGGTTATCATATTCAGAATAATGACAACAAACCATATCTTTTTAAGCCTAAACGAGACATCAATAAAAAGCTAAGACAATCTTTTCAATACCATTTACGTCACATTCATCGTGCAGGGATTTTACATATACAGTGTTTGTCATGTTAGCTTTACTTTGCGCTTAAAATACGATGACCATCGATGGGTAAAGCACACCTTGGGCTCAGGCTTGAGTTGCAACATTTGTTAAAAAAGGTATTTCCACGATACAGAATTAAGACATCACTGGTTTCGTGTACATGGTAAAAATACGTATGGTAAATTTTTGACATGTGATAAATGTAATTTTTTATGCATGCAAACAAAGAAACTGACGTGTCACAGGGAAACACACCACAAATCTACAACATTATTATTTAAGAGCAAGCTTAAGTGTCCTTGGAAAGATTGTAAAAAAGAAAGCGAATTTCTTGAATTTTATCAAGATTATTTATTAAAGGCATATGCAGGAGCAGTTGACGGCATACGTCGAATCTTGTATTGTATAGAGAAAAGGACAAAGATCTAGCGAGGCGTTGAATTCGCGTCTATTCACGAACAAAATTCAACTGCGACACATGCCGACGCAAGTTTTTGACAAAATTTATGTTAGTTATATAGATAGATGTTCAAATCCTTTACCGTGAAAGCTGTTCAACATGACGGGAGAAGACGTTGTTTATTTTATATGCTGCAAATGTTAAAAAAAATTACGCACAAACAGGGAATTTTGTACGTAAATTAAGAATACGAGAGACTTCGACTAATAATAAATAGGAATTACAAAATTAGTATACGGATGTATAACTAAAAGATGATTCGTGAAGGATCGAAGGGATTACTATGAATCGTTTGAAAAACGGCAGAGGCTCGAGTTTTAAGCCATCCATATTCTGAGGCCTTCAACGTTATGCAAGAAAAAATAATCAAAGGACATTACATAAAAGAAATAAAAACAATGATTATAATCAAAAGATATATTATTTTAAAAAATTTAATATTAAATTTTTTATCCAGATTTGTATGTATGTAATATATTCACGCTTAAAACTAGAAGGTAAATACTTATTTTCTGTACGCTATTAGGCAATATTAAAACATTTGAATCGAAAATAAGCAATGACTTAAGGAAAAAGTTTAATCCTCGGATCTCACCATGTATTTGGTATATGATAAATAAAAATGGATTGAAACATTTTTTTTGAAAGATACGATCACTTAAATAGTCATTTTTATTTTTATTTTGACTTTGTGTCTTATTAAAAGTTTAAATTAAATGGAGTCCCTTCAACAAAAATGTTGATAAATAAAAAAATTTTGTACTAATCAAATTTATGTGTGTAATTATTTACTTTCACATTAGCTAAATTTTTTTGTCGTCAATTGTTAATAAAAGTAACAACATTTTTTACGTTGGAAATAAATAAAGGCATTTTTCTTAAAAAAAGATAATGACACTCATAGATATAATGCATTGATATCGTAGCATTACTTCTGATAAATCGAAAGTCAGTATGCTTCCGCAGCTCGAATCACTTGAACGTTAAAACAATATCGCGCAGTCACAGTAAATCAGTAGTAAATGAGGTGAAAAATTGATTTTATGTATATTCAATGAAATAAAACACCTTTTACCATGGAAAAGCACAAAAAAGATCAAGCCACATCGAATACATTATCAAGTAATTATCATTTCTCTAATTTTTACAGCATAAACAATTACAAATAATTATACCATATTTTATTTGACATGAATCCTACAGAATATCTGTAAAGTACAACTTGAAGTGATGAAGAAAAAAAACAAAATAAAATTGTGAATACATCTATATTCATTCAATACTTTTTATATATTTTCATACAATTTTTTCTCTCGTAAGTAATTGTTTACTAGTAAAGAAATTTTTTCGAATTTCAAAAGAAATTATTTGCTGTAATGCAGATTTTGTTTTAAGTTTTTATAATGCAGTATTTTTTATAAAATTTGGTTGGATAGTTTTTGAACGCTGTTTTTATGAAATGTAACGTTAAAAGCTTTTTTTTTTTTTTTTTTTTTTTTTTTTTTTTTTTTTTTTTTTTTTT